TAATTTTACTACTTCTTGTTTGAGATATAATAAAGTAAACTTTTGGTTTGAATTTGGACATTTCATATTTAATGACCTAATATTTAGTCAGAGGAATTCCTCAGCACTTCTCGTTGTGTATCTCTGTGTAACACTATCCCAGTGCTCCAGCCACTGGGATGCAGAGGTTAACAAGAGATATAAATAACACTGGCCTTTACAGACTTACCAGCTAGTCAGTGTTTCTCAATTTTTTCAAAGCTCTGCCCCCTAAAGTGTTTTTAATTATTCTGCTTGTACTCAAGAAAATTAAAAATTTTGAAATCTTTATTATGAAAACAATTGATCTTTTCAATATGTATTTTCAAACTGCACATATTTTATAGGCAACTCCTGCCAATCCTACTACCTAGTTAGGGAGGACATCTTCTGAGCACAAATTTTACTTATCTTGTTTAATTTGTAATAGTTGGTTTGTTTCTCTTGTTAGGGTTTGTTTCCATCTCTCAAATCGAATATCAAGTATATAGAATCTAAAATAGATCTGACAACGATGCAACTGATAAGACTGTACATGAGGAAGAGAAATTGGGCTTGCAAGTTTGACAGGCCAAGGAAGAAGAAGGGATGGAGTACACATTGTTAGGTATTGTGGTAGTCTCAGCAAATATAGGTATATCCAACCCTCCGCTTTCCATTTGTCCTTCTTTCTCTACCTCCTGAAAAGATCTCATTCGCCCCATGTCACTTCAATAATCACCTCTATTAAGGTAACTTTCCCCTTTATTTTGCTGGCTTTGTCTTATTCAACTCACCATGACTGCCAGCTCTATCACTGCAACCACCACCATCATAGTCTTTTAATAGGGTTCTATGATGTGGCAAATAGTTTGTAAGGTTCTTTGAACAAAGCACAAATCCTTCCTTTAAGGAACTTACATTCTAAAAGGGGAGACAGTAAAGACACAGGCAAATTCAATACTCTTGTAAATTCTATGATGGGGTGAAAACACATGGAGGTACAGGGAGAAGAACCCAATTCAGTCATGGGGAAAGCAGTGAAGTCTTCTTGGAGAAGATGATATGAAGAATGGAGATCTACTGAAGTAGGAGCTTGTTTGCTTAGCAAGGGAGCAGTCTTAGTGGTGGTGGTGGTGGGGTAAGCATTCTAGACTTGCATCGCAATGTGCTTGCTGGAACATACCAGAATGCAAGTTGAGTTTTGTCCTCATTCTTCACATTAACAACGATGAACTCATCAACATTTCACCCCAAACTAGTTTCTTCCCATTCTTGTTAATGATGATGCCATTCTCCCATTTTCCAAGGTGCAAAAGCACAGTCATTTTGTACTTGTTCCTCATGATCTTTATCCTATATTTTCCATGTCATGTGAAGTCTTCTTGTGTCTCTCAAATCACATTCATTTTTATTACTGCATAGGCCTCCTGCTTAACCCTGTTCCAGGATTCTTCCTTTGATTATTATTAGTCTATCACTTCTGAGTTCATTTTCTAAAACAGTGGTTTAATCATACCATTCTGCCATTCAACATCCTTTAATGACTCCTCATAGTAATAGGTCTATTTCTAAAAAAATTACTCAAATCTTTGAAAAATTGATCTTAGATTTATGAATTGATTTTTAGCTTTCCCAAAATGTACTCTTGGCCTCAATTAAAATGGAGTGGTCATTCTTTTCCCAATACATTTTGTGTTTTTCTACCTCCAAACCACTTTAGTTCTCAGAACTAATTTCTTCTGATAATTCCACTGGTCAAATCACCGACTTCAAGGTTTCTTTCTTCAAACTTTGCAATTCATTAATAATTTTTTTTTCCAGAGACAAATATGCTTTTTTGTATTTTTTTCAGTACACAGGGTGACAATGCCTCTGTCGGGTTAATATGTTATAGGCCTGCATTAAATGAACACAGGAAAACAGCATGGAAGTTCCTCAAAAAATGAAAAATAGAACTATCATGTGATCCAGTGATCTCATTTCTGAGAATATTTCCAAAGGAATTGAAATCAGTATCTCAAAGAGATATTTACACTCCCATGTTCATTGAAGTAGTATTCACAATAGCTAAGAGCTATAAGCAGCACGAATGTCCATCCATGGAGGAATAGATAAACAAAATGTAGCATATATTAATACATAAATGGAATATCATTTAGCCTTAAAAAAGAAGAAAATCCTACTATTTATACCTGGATGGACCTGGAAGACATTATGCTGAGTGAAATAAGTCAGTCACAGAAAGACAAATACCAAATGATTCTTCCTATATGAGTCATCTAAAATAATCAAAGGACTAGAAATAGACAATAGAATGGTGGTTGCCAGGGGTTGGGAGAAGGGGATAGGGCAGTTTTTCAATGAATGTAAAGTTACAGTTATAGAAGATAAGTAAATTCCAGAGATCTGCTATATATCATAGTGCCTACAGTTAACAATATGGTATTATGCACTTAAAAATTTCTTTTTTTCAAAAAATGAGATTTCACTTTATTTTTTTTAATTAATTGATTTATTTTTTCCCAAATTCTGTGGGTAAAAATATTGTTAGGGTTACATATCTTGCCCCTGCCCCCCTCCCCACCCCGATCTGCCAGAGCTTCAAGCGTGTCCAGTCTTCAAGTGGTGCGCCCTAAGAGAGTATATCTCATGTTATGTGTTCTTATCAAAAAGAAAAAAAAAGAAAGAAAAGAAAAACAAAATCCAAAGAGATATAAGGAAACTTCCAAAGGTGATAGATATATTGTGATGTTGGTAACAAGAGTGTATGTGTATGTGCCAACTCATCAAATTATATACATTAATTATGTGCTGTTTTTTGTATAACTACTATACTTTAATAAAGCTAAAAAATATGAATAAATCTCAGAAAAAAGTTCTATGTATTGTTTTGCAAATAGATATAATGTAAGACATGATATTTATTTAACATATGGAAAGGTTACTGTAATTCCTATCATTTTACCAAGCTGTCTGTAGAGCTTAGCATCCATTATAGTAGCCACTGTGCTCACTACAGAGGCCTTAAAATATTGATAATTCAAATGGAGATGCTCTGTAAGTATAAAACACACATCAGATTTTGCAGACTTAATGAGAAAATGAGAAAAAGTAAAATGTGTCAATATTTTTTACAATACTTATAAATTGAGATAATATTTTGGATATCTTGGGTTAGATGAAATATGCTATTAAAATTAGTTTCAACTGTTTCTTTTTACTAGAAAATTGGCTAGAAAAGTGGCTCCTAGAAAATTTAAAATTACCTCATATTTGGCTCATATTTGTGGCTCATATTATATTTATATTGGACAGTACTGCTTTAAGGAGCATTGAATTGGGGGGAACAACTGTTCTATATGCTTCTTGCATTTAAACCATAATTTATGCCCATTAAGGAAACATTTATGGCCTCTTTCTAAAAAGAATAACATAATAGGAAGGAAACGAATAACCCAATTAAACTACAGGCAGAGAAACTGAATAAACATTTCTCTAAAGAAGACATATAAATATCCAACACATATAAGAAAAATGCTCAATGTCACTAATCATCAGAAAAATGCAAATCAAAACCACAGTGATATACCACCTCACACCTGTTGAAATGACTATTATCAAAAAGACAACAGATAATGAGTGTTGGCAAGGATGTGGAGAAAAAGAACCCTTGAGCACTGTTAGTAGGAATATTAATTAATACAGCCATTATGGAAAACAGTATAGAAGTTTATAAAAAAATTAAAAATAGACATACTACATAATCCAGCAATACCCCTACTGGGCATATATCCAAAGGAAATGAAATTAGTGTGTTGAAGAGAGATCTGTACTTTTCTGTTTATTGCAGAATTATTCACAAATAGCCAAGATACCGAATCAACCTGTGTCTACCCATGAATAAATGGATAAAGAAAATATGGTATATATACCCAGTAGAATACTATTCAGCCATAAAAATGAAGGAAAGCTTGTCAGTTGCACAACATGGATGAACCTGGAGGACATTATAGTAGGTGCAATAAGCTAGGTACAGGAAGACAAATACTGCATGATCTCACTCATATATGGAATCTAAAAAAGTTGATCTCATAGAAATAGAGAGTAGAATTGTGGTTACCAGGGACTAGGGTGGTTGGAGGGGTCGTTGGGAGATGTTGGTCAACAAATACAAAATTTCAGATAGAAGGAATAAATTCAAGAGGTTTATTGAACAACCTGGTGACTATAGTTAACAATAAATTGTATTCTTGAAAAACACTAAGAAAGTGGTTGTAAAGTATTCTCACCACAAAATGACAACCATGTGAGATCATACATATGTAAACTAGCTAGATTTAGTAATTTACAACAGATATATACTTCAAAACATCATGTCACAATGAATGCATACAATTTTATCTGTCTATATAAAATAATATACATATATAAGACATTGCTTAACAAAAAGAACGCTCAGAAACTTTAGGAGAATATTAGGATGCTTTTTGGAGTTAGTGCAGAGGAAGAAGTTTTACTAAATTTTGGTTTTGGTGGACTTAGCAAGAGTCACAAATGGGGCAGCATTTGGAATATTGAGGCTACAACTTATAAAAGCTTTGGAGACAGAAACTTTGATTTCAATGAAATTGGCAGAGGCTCTACCTATTGGATGCTGTTATAAGGGAGCAACCCTTGAGCAGCCTAGGCCTGATCCACATGTACCTGTCTTTAGGAACTATAATTTCTATACCCATGACCTCACAATTTTCACCTTGTTGTAGAACACTAGAGATAATTGCTGAGTAAATGACTAGTATTGGGGCAGCAGAATATTATTTAATGTCCAGATCAGGGGCTAGAAGTATCTAGGGCAGGGATCCTCAAACTTTTTAAACAGGGGGCCAGTTCACTGTCCCTCAAACCGTTGGAGGGCCGGACTATAGTTTTAAAAAAAACTATGAACAAATTCCTATGCACACTGCACATATCTTATTTTGAAGTAAAAAAACAAATGGGCAAAAACACCCACATGTGGCCTGCGGGCCGTAGTTTGAGGATATCTGATGCAGGGAGTCAGGACACAGCTTATATCCTCAATTGAACTGGGGAGTAGGAAATCCCTAGAGATACAATTTGAGCAGAAGATAGAGTCTCTAAGGAGACATTGTGAGCATCTAACTTGGATATAAATACAGAGATGTCAAGGTTTCCTGAGAGAGGCTCTGTGTCTGGGTAGTAACCCCCAAACATAAAATAAAATCCTTTGTGCTCTATCAACTAGGAGGACGTTTTACTTTGCTGCCACTGGAGTGAACTTGGTAGAAGTCCAATGAAATAGATGCTTGACTTTTAGCTCTGGAGGAGTCCCAGGGTGATTCAGAGATGGAGGTCTGTGTTCTGACACACTCTGCATTTTAGGCAGCTGAGAAGTCTGTGACAGGGCTCTTCCCATCTATGTTATTGGAACCATTTTCAGTCAAAACACTTGTGGAAGAGAGAAATTAAGGACCAGCATTGGGTTCTCTAGAAGAAAAACCTGTGAGTATCCTAATTCAAAATCTCTTTGAAGAATTCTTTCTCTAACCTCACAGCCAATGGAGCAAAAGGCTCTGTCAGAATCATCTGTCTTTTTACTGGAGACAGCTCTAAGTGTGCGGGGCTTCTTATTGCAGGATCTAGGATCTAGAAGTGGGGACACAGACAATGTAGACACAAAATGAGGGTCACTGTGGCATCAGGTAGACCTTGGTCTCTTAAGGCTTTCCTCAGTGAGAAGATCGAAACTCCATGGTCTTCTAGTTATTTGGTCTTGGGCAATGTCCGATTCCTATGTTAAAATATTGCATAGCCATCTTTGAAATAGGGACAGAATTTTTGCACAGTCCAGACTAGTAAGGGAAGAGCACAGAAAAAGACACTAAGAGCAGAAAAAGAATCATACATGAGTAATATCCAAAAAAGGGTCATTTTGAGTTGGCTTTTATTCCACAACTACCACGATCTATGTATTGAGTGCCTGCTATGTCAGGACCACATGGAGAATGAATACATAATAAATAAGGCAGGCAAAGTCCTGGTCTTCATGAATATAGTTATAGTCTAGCAGGACACAAGGCACTAACTAATCAATTACATAAATGCTACCACATTGCTAACTCCGTTTTCATCAATGAGTCCTAGTCTATCTCTCATCCCATTTGTAAGTCTCAGCTGCCCCCCTGAAACCTTATCTGTCCCTCAACTCTACCTGTCTGACTGTACTTCCATGAGTTGCTCTCTATTTCTCACCTTAGCCCTGACTTTGCTCCCTATACTTTGCTTCATTCCTTAGTCTCTCTTCATCCCTCACTCTACCTCAGAGCCTTATTCCACCTCTAATATCATATTCCAGATTCAAACCCTTCCCTGCCCCGCTCATCTTCTTGACTTTTATTGCACCCTCACCCATTCATTCTCAATCTGCCACAATTCTTCTCTGCACCAATGAACATGATCCCATCCCCTGAGCTTTAGGCAATATTCAACCTTCACTCTATTCCTCATCATATCCATTTAACCTTCCTGCATTGCTGGCCTTCTCTCCGTCTTTGGATCTCATTCTATAAAGGACCATATCTATCAGACTGACTCCATCCTTAAACCTTACTTCTTTCCTCACTTCACCTGTGTACCTCACACAATGCTGACCCTCACTCACTCTGAGAATCTGACCCACACCATCTGTGATGCCCACACCTCTTTCTGAGTGAAAGCTAGGGATTGGATGAGATTCAGTGAAATGTGAAACAACACATGGTTTAAAAAAAAGTGGAAACTTCAATATTTGAGCATCATGAGACACATATGTATGTCATAATGTCAACTCTTTTAAAAGTGTTCTGTCAAATTATCATGGACTTCATGTTTTCCCATCCTTGTATCTTAACACGACCTGCAGGTCTACGTAGGCTCCAGCTGCACCAGTCATCTCTCTTAAGGAAACCTGGAAAATCTGACACTGCAGAGCTTCTACAAGTCAGGGGATGTTGCTGCACATCCTGGAGTGTGAAAGGGCATCTCAAGAGTCTAGAGAATGCCATTTCCAGGGTGAGAAATGATTCAAAAGAGCTCATTTCCCTCTAATTGGCTTTTCTTTCATCTCCATAGATCAGCTCCTACAAAAGAATGACACATAGAAATGCCTCCTTGGTGACAGAGTTTATCCTTGAAGGTTTGACTGACCGGCCAGAACTTCAACTCCCCCTCTTCTTCCTATTCCTAGGAATCTATCTGGTTACAGTGGTGGCCAATTTGGGCTTGATTACATTAATTTCACTAAACTCTCACCTTCACACACCCATGTATTATTTCCTCTTTAATCTGTCTTTCATAGATATCTGTTACTCTTCTGTCTTTACCCCCAAAATGCTCATGAATTTTGTATTGGAGAAAAACACCATCTCCTATACAGGGTGCCTGACTCAGCTCTATTTCTTCTGTTTCTTTGTCATTGCTGAATGTTATATATTGACAGCAATGGCATATGATCGCTATGTTGCCATTTGCAAGCCACTGCTATATAATGTTATACTGTCTCCTCGGATCTGCACTTTGTTTGTGTTTGGGGCATATGTGATGGGGTGTTGGGGTTCCCTAGCCCACACTCTGTGTATGGCAAGACTGACCTTCTGTGATGCCAATATTGTCAACCATTATCTGTGTGATATACTCCCAGTGCTGCAGCTTTCCTGCACCAGCACCTACAACAATGAGATCGTGGTCTTTGTTCTGGTTGGCATGAACATTCTGGTGTCTACCAGCACCACGTTCATCTCCTATGCTTTCATCATCTCCAGCATCCTCCGCATCAGCTCCACGGAGGGCAGAGCTAAAGCCTTCAGCACCTGCAGCTCCCACTTAATGACTGTTTCGCTTTTCTTCGGGGCAGCAGCATTCATGTATCTCCAACCTTCTGATGCAGAGTCTATGGACCAGGGAAAAGTGGCCTCAGTCTTTTATACAAACGTTGGGCCCATGCTGAACCCCTTGATCTACAGCTTGAGGAATAAGGATGTCAAACTTGCTCTGAAGAAAACTTTAAGACGAAAAGTATTTTCCTAAGCAGCAACAGAGCTTGTACAAGCAATTTTTAGCACTGGTTTATTCGGTTTTGTTGGTACTTCTTCACAATAAAATAGAATGCATTTTCTCACTTAATTCAGGGCCTTTCTTTCTTAAAGAAATTCCTTAATTCTTCCTTCCTCCACTCTTCTTATCTTTTAAAAATATAATTTTATAATTACAACATTAAGAAAAATGTTGTAATTATACAATTTTGTCTTTTGCTATTAGAAATAACATCTTTTGGACACATATTGTTGATGCTGTGATTGAACAATTGAATAACATCACAAAACATCTATCTGCACAGCAAAGTGACATGGCTATGAGAGCCCGAGGACTCTGCTTTGCTAGATGTCTTTGGTGTTAGCGTAGAATTCGTATGACACAAACACTGTTCCAGGATTCCTCACAAAAGTGAAAACAGTGAACATGGCCTTTTGAGATTTGCTTCTTTCCTGGTTTCCTGGTTTTGTTAACAGTTTCAAAATCTATACCAACTTCTGTTAGTCTTTAGAAATTGTGAGAGGGGAAAATACACAATGGCAGCCAATGCATGCATGTATTGAAAATAAACGCTGTTGTGAATACTGCTTTTCTATCAACTTCTTTAGCATCAAATTATTCTTACTCTATAGTTATAACCATGTTTTGTTAGGTCTAGTGTACCACTTGACACAGTTTCTCTTGAATAAGATTTGTCTGCCACCACTAATAGATCAGGAGCTCCTGGCGAGCACAGATTTTCTTTTTATCACCTTTGTATCCCTGGTGTTTGACACAATTTTTGTTTTGAATTCATTCAATATTTGATGTTCTGAATATTGTAGGGTAAAGCAAGCTGTATGTAGTATTTCTCATTTTCTACAACATAAACATTGGGTTTTTTTCTCTTTGCAAAATGCAGTATGATAAAGATGCTCAAATTAATATAAAAAAGTAAAGAAATAATTAAAATATTTATAAAATGCCTGCAATGTCTATCCTTGCATCTAATATGAAGTTTCTTTTTATTTTAAATTTTCAGAAAGTCAGCAATTATTTGGAAAAGTCTGATTCTTTTGAGCATTGCTTTTAAGGTTTCTCACATGGGACCTAATCAGCCTTTCATGTAGGGATAGTTTTTCCACTAATGAGTCCAAGTGTTCATAAATACTCTACCCGATGCCCTTTGTAACAAAGGTTTCCCACACTGGATTGTGGCAATATCAAACTATTCTCAGTGGAAGTGCTGTATTTTGATGCATTTCTTTAGAGGGTTGGATTTTGTTTTGGCAGGCAGTTATATTACTTCCGAACCAGCTTGATGATTCAAAGCCTTGTTTTTAGACTTCTTAATTGTGTGTCTAGGGTATCTTAATTTTGGTCTAATTTAGCACTGTTCCTAGAGTGTGACCCTTCTTGCACCTCTACTACATGTTCCATATCATCTCTACTTAGGCAGGCCAGAACTCAAATGATACCCAGTTTTAAACGAATTCTTGAAAAAGTTTTGTTTATAGCTTCCTTGTTGTTATAATTATTTTCTTTGCTGAACCACGTGGTATTTTACCCTGTGCTTTCACAAATTAGTATTTAGACATTTATTCAAGGGGACATAATGCAGATATCTGGAGTATGTTCTCTGATTAGCCCCCTCCTCTCTAATGCTCTGTCTGATAAATTCTAGCCACCTTGACATCTCTGAATTCTGACCTCTGGCTTACCAATGTAGCAAAATTCTATGCTACATTTGGAATCCCTTCTGCTGTGCCAAATTTCAGAAATTGTGTCAAAGCAGAAAGCCAGAGTGATCATAGGGATCAATCATCTTATTTGTTTTACTTCTTTCAGGCATCATAGTCCTGTGCTGACTTTTAGTATCAAAACAATTGTATGTGTGTGTGTGTGTGTGTGTGTGTGTAAAACAACAATTAATTTTGTTTGGCTGCTTTTTTTCCTTTTTTTATTTCAAAGTATTAAGCAGGTACAAATACTCTTTTGTAACATGGAAACTTTTTGTAATGCTTAAATCGGGGCTTTTATTGTGCCCATCACATGAATAGTGTTCACTATAGCCAATAGGTAGGTTTTTACCCTGCCCTGCTTCCCTCTTCTTGATTTCCAATGACCTTTACATTTCTTTGTGCACATACCGTGTTTCCCCGAAAATAAGACAGGATCTTATATTTATTTTTCCTCAAGAAGACACCGTAGGGCTTATTTTCAGGGGATGTGTTATTTTCCCTTCAAAGCCTCAGCTTGCAGCACGCACGGGATGGCCGGGACCTGACAGGGGGAGCCGACCTTGTTGGTGGGGCTGTCCCCGCCTTTCCAGTCACCTCTGGGATAGTAGCTGTCAGGATGGGGCAGATGAGAAGGGCTGCTCCTCTTCTTTACTGCTCCACCACGAAATGCGTGGGTTGCGCAGATACGCTGCGTAGCCACGCCCATCACTAGGTCTTATTTTCGGGGTAGGGCTTATATTGCGCAAATGCTTAGAAATCCTGATAGGGCTTATTTTATGGGTAGGTCTTATTTTCGGGGAAACATGGTATATGCCCATCTGTTAGCTCAGAATTATTAGAGAGTACATGTAGTGTTTGTTTTTCCATTCTTGAGATACTTCAATTAGGATAATGACCTCCAATTCCATCAAAGTTGCTGCAAAAGGCATTATTTCATTCTTATTTGTGGATTAGTAGAATTGCATAGTGTATACTCATGAATTGATGGGCACTTGGGTTCATTGCACATCTTTGCAATTGTGAATTGTGCTGCAATAAGCATTCAAGTGCAGGTGTCTTTGATGAAAAGTCGTTTTTTTTTCCCCTTTGGGTAAATACCCAGTAGTGGGATTGCTGGATCAAATGGATGGACACACCATTAGCTGGGACTCAAGCATTACAAAAGTGATCCATGTAACATAAAACATTTTTACCCCCTTAATATTTTAAAATAAAAAGACTGATAACATGTTTGGGCTTACCATACTATTCTCTGTGTGTCCATATATATTTGAAATTTTATGCAATAGAAACAAATTTTAAAGAAAAATGAATGTGATTACAGAAATTCATATGTCTTCAGGGCATTCCACATGAAAAGTATCACTTTAGGTTCTGGAGGTACAGTTATAAACAAGATAGGAAAAACTCCTATTGTGGAATTTATGTTTTACTTAGGAAGAGAAAAAATAAACAATTTGAAATAGATAATAAATTGACCATTAGTGATGTATGTTGTGAATCAAAATATATAGCAAGGTAAGTAGTAAAAGTGTGATAAAGCAGATGGGTATTTTAATAGTATGAACATGAAAGTATCCTTTGTGGCATTTCAGCATTAAAAACCTGAATAAAATGAGAAGGTAAGCTATGAAAATATCAAGAAAAATACAATACAAACAAGAATACAATTATCAAGTTTTTGTAGTATCTTCAATAAGTTGGATGAACATTTTGCTTTTTTATTATTTAGTCTTTACAACAGCAATGCAAGAAAGGTGTTACCATTTCCATATTACCAAGGATTTCTTCACCCTAATAACTCACTTTCTTTTGGGACAAACTTTAAGTAACTAAGAGAAGGAATTATATGGAGAGAGTTGGTATTCTCATGAACTATTGAATGTCTATATCCAATAGTTCACTTATTGCACTTCACTGTTTGGTGCTTTGTTTCCCTGCCTCCCTCTCTGGACTGCACTTGGCCTAAGTTAGGGCTCCAGAAATATTTATTTGTTGAATGAATACAGAACATGACTGCTATCATGTTCCTTCAACTTGATAAAGCTCTTTAAAAGACAAGGTTTGCGACTATCATTGAAGCTTCCTCCCAAAGACTAGAAAAAGAATATGTTCTCAGTACTCTGGAGACACTTAATAGGAACAACATAACTGACAGATGTGGGGAGATTGAGGCTCTGCTTCGTCAACCACAACAAAAGACCATCTGGGATTCAGACCTTCATCTGTTCAACAATTATCAGTCACCAACAACTGGCTCTTTTTTGTTCTTTCTCTCCCTGACCCTACCTATCTTTTTACTCTTGGAAAATGTTTTGTTAATACTTTGTGACGCAATGTAAAGATGACTTTGTCAAGTCTTATTCACAACATAGAAAAGTGGAAATCTGACTCTGTGAGATAAGAAAGAATTCACATACAAAGTGGAATTCGAACTGGGTTTTGAATGGTAAGAATGAGCTTGTCCAGTTGAAGATCATTATAAGTAGAGCAAATAAAAGGCACAGAGCTTAAGAGAAGTGATCAGTAAAAGAGTTCTCCCCTTCAAATGCATGCATTGACTCACTACCCAGATATGAGGCCCAAATATAATGTTGTGTCTAGTTCAGTCTGGCAGATTCTTTCACTGATCTCATCCTGAAAAGAACCAAAAGTGGGAAGACTTGCCTCTGCCTTTGCTCCTTCTCTTCCCATCACCCCCTCTTCCCATTATCCTCTTCTTTTCCCATCAGTCCCTTCTTTACCCATCACACCTTTCCCTTCCCATCATTCCCTTCTCACTGTTCTTTCTTTTCATCAAATTGCTGTATGGACTGTAATAGCACATTTCTTGTGATAAGCCCACTAGGAAAAATAACAAAGAAATATAAAGGGGAAGGAACTAAAGACAAGCCTTTGTATATGCAGAGTATCCAAAACCATTAAATAATAGCAGCTTGGACTTCTCATTGCCCCATCTGTGCCAGGGATTATGAAGCCAAACTCAAATTTTCTAATGCTGAAAAATAACAGAATCTGTCACCTCTTCATAGACTCTATGTATCTACGTGCTCCACATTCTCTTTCACTCACTGCCCCAGCACCAGGCCAACACCTGTTTTCAGGTCTGAGACCAACAGACAGGCTTTGTAGATGATACAGCACACTAGTACTTCTGATTCATTCACAAGAGACCTGCCTTAAAGTTCCATCTAGAAGTCCTTTTTTAAAAAAAGAAAAAACCAAAAAAACACAATTTCCTCATATTTCAGAAGTCACAGGATATCACCTGAGCCATGTTATTGAAACTCTCCAATTTTTTCAGCAACTCCTAGACTATCAGATGATGGCTTATCCAACGCAGACATTTGAGGGGATAATTAGTTAATAATACCAGTGTAGGTGAAGAAGTGATAGAGTAGGGAAGAAAAGAAGAGAAGAGGATACAGGAGCAGGAAAACAGAAGAGAAAATTGAAGAGAAGGTCCAGGATGTTTTGCCAACTGGGAAGAAATAATTCTTCCCGGGCAGGATAATTTATTAGTTACTTCACCTTAAATAATTTGCTTTATGTATTTAAGTCTTAGCTTCTTCATCTGTAATAAAAAATGGCAGTGATAATATCTGTGTGCACAAGACGAATATCTTTTTTAAGCAGTGTGGTGTTATTAAAGTGTTAAGCTACTGATCTTTCTCTATCATTTCTCAGGAAAGAAGGCCACCTGCTGTAGCACCTTCCTCAGGGAATATTTAACTTCCTTATTTCTCAGGCTATAGATCAAAGGATTCAGCATGGGGGTGACCAGGTTGTTCAGTACCTGAACAGTTGCATTAAGCCAGGGATTGGGAGTGGGCTGCAGGTAGATGAGGACCACTGGCATGAAGGAAAGGAGAATGGCAGTAAGGTGGGCACTGCAGGTGGAGAAGGCACGGCGTCGGCCCTCTGTAGATTGAATTTGAAGAATGGAGCAAACAATGCAGGTGTAGGAGGTCAGAATGAGAAGGAAACAGCTGAGAGGCATGAGGCCCACACTGATGAACCCCACCATCTCCAGGGCTGAGGTGTCTGCACAAGGCCAGCTTCAGCATCACTGGGATATCGCAGAAGTAATAGTCCACCTCATTGGGGCCACAGTAGGGCAATTGGAAGGTGAGAGTGGTGAGAAAGGTGGCCTGAATGCAGCCAAAAAATGAGGTCCCCGTGGCTAGGATGGTGCACACTCTGTGGCTCATGATGATGGTGTAGCGCAGAGGGTAACATATGGCCACAAAGCGGTCATAGGCCATCACCGTGTAGAGGAAACACTCAGTACAGCCCAGGAAATGGTAGAAGAAGAGCTGGGACACGCAGCCTGCATAGGAGATGGTGCGGCTGTTCCCTGAGAGGTAGAACAGCATCTTGGGGGAACTGACAGAAGGGAAGAATATGTCAAAAACAGACAGCTTGCACAGGAAGAAGTACATGGGAGTATGAAGCCGAGTGGAGGAGACAATAGCAAGTAGGATCAGCAGGTTCCCCATAAGGGTGAAGATGTAGAAGGACAAAAACAAAACAAAGAGCATTGTCTGGAGCCCCTCTGTGTGTGGGATGCCCAGCAGGATAAATTCAGTCACAGCCGAGACATTCCTCATCTTTTTCAGAATGCTAGACTTCAAAAAAGACCACACAGGATTCCAAAATATGAACACTGATGTCAAACTAAGATGCTCTCTGAGGGATGTCTTGGTTTCCTGTTTTAACAATCAACAATCAGCTCTCTAATGTAGGGGCAGATCTACATAAAAACATAAGAACCATAAAAATTCTTGACAATGTTTTGAAACTTTTGGTTTTGTATACCACAGACTATTTTTCTCCAGACCCGATGTTGGAATTATCAAATATATTTAACTGTCTATTATAACTATCCTCTTTGAGATGTAAACTCATTTAAAATAAATGGGAGCATAGGCATTTTCAGCAAGCAAATATAAAGTATAAAAATGAAGCAGATAAAAATTTTAGAACTGAAAAATACAATTGGTGCTTAAGGAATTAGAAACATTTAAATTCATACTGTGAGTCCTAGCCAGTGCAATATGGGGAAAAATAAAAAACAACTAAAGGCAAGAGGATAAAAAGAAAGCAAGCAAACTGCTTATGTTTACAAACATCATTTTTATCTACACAATAAATCCCAAGTAATCTTCAATAAAACTTCTAGAACTAATAAGTGAATTTAGCAAGGTAACTAGATGTAAAATCAATATACAAAACTGTGTTATATTTTCATATGTTAGCAACCAAAAATTGGAAATCAAAAGTAAAACAAATAGTACTATTTATAACAGCACTAAAATACATAGTTTCAAATAAAAAATATGTGCAGGATCAATACATTGAAAACAAAACATTAATGAAAGCAATCAAAGAAGATACATATAGGTGGAGAAACAGTGTTCATGGATTGGAAGACTCAATGTTGTTAAAAAATCAATTTTTCCCAAACTAATCTATATAACCAAGGCCATCATAATCTTAATCCCAACATAATTTTTTATATTAATAAGATGATACTACACTTTATATGGAAAGCAAAATAATTATAATAGAAAAACAGCAAAGTTTGAGGGCTCAAACTGGATTTTACAACTTACTGTAATGCTACATTTATCACGATCATGTCATGTTGGTGAAAGAAGAGGGACTCACAGCTCAATAGAATAGACTAAAGAACCCAAGAACAGAACCACACACATATGATCAATTGATTTTTGACAAAGTGTACAAAGGCAAGTACATGGCGAATAAATAGTCATTTTAACAAATGATTCTGGAACAATTGACCATTCATATAAAAAACAAAATGAAACAAATAAACAATGATACTAAACCCATTCCAAGTATGAAAATATACTTAAATGGATCATAGATTTACATACAAAATCAGAAAGTATAATACCTCTGAACTCTCACATTCTCTACAGAGACCATGGTAGAATTTCCTGCATTATTATAAAAGATAATCCAGCTCACATTCTCTAGTTCCCAGAAGGGTAGAGTGTCCCAACCTTAGGAATTGAAATTTGGTGTTCATATAAGAAGGTTCCAAGGGCATATACTTTCAAGACTTGAACATACCCATTCCCCTAGATCACTTTCTTCAGATATCCTTGGGCATATCTCAGGATTCAGTCATTGGTAACTCTAAGGGAACAATTTTATCAAAGTTAACCACATTTCCCATCCAAAATAAAATAATAATGAGATGCTTTGAAAAAGGAAATACTGACATCCCTTTGCAGTCTGTTTGTCTGGAGAATGGACTCCAATTCTGACCTTAAGGCTTCTTTTTCTGCCTGTTTCTTACTTGTTTAAGTCTTTGCATGTACTAACATTGCAACACTTCCACTTCAATTATATAAGTGTTTCTGGAACTATGTTGCTATCTACAATTAGCATCACTATTTAAAACAGGATTTAATAAATGATAAGCAATCACTTATTTGTTATCTGTGTGCTCCTAGCGAATGCACCTTTAAAGCAACATTAATAAACTTAGTTTATTCAAGGGATGATTATAAGTTGGTAAAGTGGCTATAAGCCATCCCATATGAAAATTATTCAATATAAATAGCAGTTAATATTGGCTGAGCATTTGCAAAGGTACTATGATGTTTTTAAGTTCAGTAGTGGTTGTTTTTTTTTTTTTTTTTTACTTAAGTCTGAAAACAATCTTGCTAATTAGGAGAGGAAACTAAAGCATAGAGAGATTTAATAGCTTGACCACACACTGGACATGACTAAGTTAACAATAAATTCCGGGTCTGATTCCAAAGCCAGTGGGCCTAAGCCTTCCACTGTGAGAGCTCCCATGGGGTATTTTGTTTAGAGAAGCAGAGACATGACACTTCAAATTCTTGGAAAGCTTCTATGTAGATTTGTTCTGTGCTTTTCCAGAACAGTAAAAAGGTGTGGAACTAATAAAAACTTTGATTTCATTTCAGTGTAGATAGAAAAGAAAAATTAGTGAGGTTAAGATGCTTTGTGAAGGAGTGACCTCACCATCACTGGAAGAGTTTCAATATGGATCAAAAGACATTCTTTCTAGGATGTGATAAGGAAGATTCTTAATTAGAATGCAAGATTATCCTACATGTACCTTTATATCCCTTATAACTTTAAGATTCTTTGATTTTATTACACAGTCTCTTTTCAAATGCACCTGAGTAGGTACAATAAAGCTTAACAAAGGATTCTCCTGGTAAGCAGATGATTTTGGTTTAAACCAAATCAGGATAATGTGGAGATTTATCCACATTAAAACAATAGGAGTTATGGATATAGGTGTAGTAGTTATAGTAATAACAATTTAATGCCATTTTTAATGCATCTTAAAAGAAGAAAAGCACATGCCATGGGGAAGGCTGGGATGCCACTGAAGAAGAGTCCCTTAGGATGGTAGAATCTCACTGGGATGCTTTTGTGTGTGGTAGATAGTTAAAAACCAAACAAAAACCTGTGTTGTGTTAAATATGTACAAGCATTGTACTGAATGCTTTATGTAATTAGCTCTGAGTCCTTACCAAAGTTCTATGAGACAGGTGGAGTTAATTCCCATTTTATATCAGGAACTGAGGCACAAAGAATTTAAGTAAAATTGAACAAGTGTCTACATCACTTAGTGGGTAGAGTTGGATCCCACACGCAGAACAGTAGGAATGCCTTCCTGAGCAGTTACCAAATCTGACTCCCTAATACTAATTAACTCAAATTTCCAGATAAGGACACTGAAATTCAAACAGTTAAAAATTTTTCTAAAACTTAAAAATGAAGAGCAAATCATACCAAAATCTTCTGACTCCAAATTTAGTGTTCTTTCTACTACACCTTTACTGCCTGCACAAAGACTTGATACAGAGAGAAATAACACCGTGTAAGGAAAAAAATCATTCACAGATTCATTCTACAAACTTGGAGAATTGTTCCTGGCATGTCTGCAATTATTAACTGTATTTATCTACTATTCCCTGAATAGTTTATGGCACCAGAGTCTAACTCAGGAGAGGGACATAAGTCTCTCAAGATTACATTATATCTGAGTCAATAGGTCCCAAAGCTATAGAGAAACTTTGCTAACTAAAGATGATTCCCCAAGAGCATGCCTCAGATTATGGTGAAACATAAAGGAAAATTTGTCTCTTATTTGCTTTGTTCAGAAATGTAACAGGCTGTTATCTTTATGACTCCCATTTCTAAGTTCTAATATTTGGTAAGCTTGTAGATATTTTTCCCCAACATAACTGGCCTAAAATTACCTCATCCATAGAGGTTGTTCTCACCTCTTTAAATGAAAGTTTTTAAGCTAAGGTATTTATAGTAACACAAAAACATTCATATAAAAATAACTATTCACATACTCTTTGTGCCTGTCTTGGGAGATATAGAAGATGGTTATTCTCTCAACAAAATCAAAGAGGAAAAAAAATCAAGCATGGCTCTTTGAACCTCAGTACCTCCAAGATTGATGAATTGAATGTAAGTCAGGAAGGAAAGATAATTTTTCATGTGATTCAGAGTATACATATAGAAACGGCCCAATAAGTTTTCTTTTATTTCAGCATATTATGGGGGTATAAATTTTAAGGTTTAAAAGAATGCACTTTACCCCCCTCCCCCCCACAAGTCTAAGCTTCCAGCGTAACGATCCTCAGACGGTGCACATCTCACTCATTATGTATGTATATACCCCCCTCCCCCCTCCCACCTGCCCAATATGCAATTACTGTAGTTCCTATGTGTCCACTTAGGTGCTGCTCAGTTAATACCAGTTTGCTGGTGAGTATATGTGGTGCTTGTTTTTCCATTCTTGGGATACTTCACTTAGTAGTATGGGTTCCAGCTCTAACCAGGAAAATATAAGATGTGCTATATCACCATTGTTTCTTAGATCTGAATAGTACTCCATGGTATACATGTACCACATTTTATTAATCCAGTCATGGATTGATGGGCACTTGGGTTGTTTCCACAGCTTTGCAATTATGAATTGTGCTACTATAAACATTCGAGTGCAGGTGTCTTTTTTGTAGAGTGTCATTGGATCTTTTGGGTAGATGCCCAGCAATGGGATTGCTGGATCAAATGGTAGATTCACTTGCATTGCTTTAAGGTATCTCCATATTGTTTTCCAAAGAGGTTGAACTAGTTTGCAGTCCCACCAGCAGTGTAGGAGCATTCATATCTCTCCACATCCACGCCAGCATTTGTTGTTTGGGGACTTTTTGATAAAGGCCATTCTCACTGGAGATAAGTGATATCTCATTGTGGTCTTGATTTGCATTTCCCTGATGATTAGAGATGTTGAGCATTTTTTCATATGTTTGTTGGCCATTCTTCTGTCTTATTTAGAAAAGTTTCTGTTCATATCCTTTGCCCACTTCTTGATAGGATTGTTTGATTTTTTTCTTGCTGTTTTTCATGAGTTCTAAGTATATTCTAGTTATCAGCCCCTTATCAGATGTGTAGGATGCGAAAATTTTCTCCCATTCTGTAGGTTGTCTGTTTACTTTCATGACTATTTCTCTGGCTGTGCAGAAGCTTTTTAGCTTGATCATGTCCCATTTATTTTTGTTGCTGCTGTGATTGCCTTTGGAGAATAAGCTTTTTTAAAAGAAGAGTTAGGGTTTATC